GTAACATCAAAATCATAGGTTCCCTTTTGTTGTTTCAACCGGCGTTGACTAACTTGAGTGGGTTCCTTGTCCCAATTTAACTCAAATTGCGAGCTATCTCATCTTCATCAATATACTCAATTCGCTTCATCCGTAAAGCCCACGATACACCTCATTAGTGGCATTGTTCTTACGAAAGCGATTATCTCTCCCCGAACCCTTGGGCTTGATTACTCATAGCGCGCTAAACGGCGTGCAAGTTGACCAAGATCATCAAACTCTAAACCGAACAACTTCTCCCCGATATTTGGCAACATTCCTACTATAGCAATTCCGGTGTAGTTGATCATCGGTAAATTTAGAGAATAACACATATTCTTGGTCTCCCTAAATCTGCTGAAGATACTCCAATGGTGTTTCATTTGTTCTCATCCTCAGACTCATGAGATCAACCAATTTCTTCTCATTGGTACCCGTATAGAAATATGAATGAAACTTACGCTCTAGTTACGCCCACGTACCAATGGAATGAGCCGGTGAGAGCGTGAACCATGTGAAAGCCGGTCCTGTAAGAGACAAAGGAAAATATCGAATCCTCCATGCTTCATCAAGCGACTTCTCCAAGTTGCATTAAGTACCCAATGATGTGCTCTATGGTACTAGTATCATCTTGACCAGAAAACTTGGTCAAATCTGTTGGAGGCTTCACCCTTGGAGGCAATGCCACTCTGTTGTACCATTCTGGATAAGGAGATTTGTATGAATAGGATTGATTCTTTGGCTTCAAGCCGAACTGATTCTGCATCATATCAGCCATCCTGTGCATCAAAACATCAATACCTGGATCCTGGTTTCCTTGTACTTGCACTCCAGAAGGCAATCCTGAAACACTTCTATACCCTGGGTTTGGCACAGCATTGATAGCACTGTAATCAGTAAATTCTTGATATCCATCTCCATACATATTCTTCTGTAATCTATTTGATGCTTGGGAGAAACTCTATAATTTGAAAGTGGCACTTCTCCTGTGGTACCAAATGTCATCTGACCATAAGTGGGATGTGATTGCTTTTCAGTGTGAGTCAATCCACCTATATTTGAAGGCGACGCTACTTCCTTTCCAACAGGCTTCTCTTGATGCTTTGGAACATTGAAAAGCGTCGGCCCACTAAGTGGTCCAACATTTTCCTCGAAGTATTTATCAACCATTGGGCCAAAAGTACTGATCATGATTGCCCGAAAGGTATTCAGAAAAGCTGTGTGATGGTTTGTCATGGTTTCTCCCATAGCTTTATAAACCAGGGCTGCCATCTTCTGAGCATCCTCCTCTTCAGTGTAATCAGTTTGATGCGGAAGAAGAACCCTTGGCATTGACTGCTTTTGAAATACTTTATTGCTCTTGTTTTTGGAAAAAGACATCAAGCACTTCCGTTGGTATTGCTCACACGCTTGTAGCACTAAATCCTTGTAATTATCTGGCAATTCTGCCATGCTTACATCCAGAACATGATCATTGTTGATCTCAGATGCCATCTTGAACTAGCAGATTGTCCCACCGAGCGTGCCAAAAAGTGTGTTGACACAAAATGTGACGCACTGTGCCGCACACACAGCAAGCCAAAAAGCGTGGCTTCAATCGGGTGCCCGGGTGCTTCGTGATCCGGACGTGCGGTCAGTTTGACTGAAAAAAGCGACAAGGGATAAAAACGATTAAATGTCAAACCGGAACATGTCGGGTGAGACGAGACGAGTTCCGTATATACTGACCACGAAGCCATTTACAGCGACATACACTATAGGAAGGCATGCGCCAACAAGTTTATAAATCATTCGGCTAATCGTAGGATGGACATACGTAAAGAGATCGATTGCGAATGCATATGCATGGGAAGACATGTTTGAACAAGTGAAATTGATTATGCGTTAATGCATATCCAAGCTCAAACAATCCGGCCGAGTTGGGGTCCATGAAGAAGGAACGTGTAGATAAACACGATTAAGCCAATCTAAAACACAAATGCGCAGACGACACCTAGTTTCGTCAAAAACTTAAGCGTGATTAACATACATGAACCCACAACATGTGACAATCTAGATTAAAATAATTCAGCCATTATGAGCATGTTATCTATTTGCAAAGGTATTATGAAAGTAATGATCATTGAAGCTCGAATAAAACCATAGAAGAGGGCGAACAATATCAATCTAGATTGGGCAAAAGTGTGTTACAAATATATAAAATATTTAAAACATGCAACACAGGATAACTTGATGAATCTATTTAGATTTTGCCGTAATCTAATAGAGCCGATAAGCATCTTGCTTCCACTAAGCATATTGAGCAAACGCGCGCGCATACGGTATCTACTCATAAACAAAGTATAAGCAAAGACTTCTTGGTTGTCAAGCAAAAAGATCCCACGACGATCATTGAAAACAAACAAGACTACTTGCATCACGTCTAAATCCACCGCATGATACTAAACATGATAACAAGGTTGTCGGAACTTACGGAGGTCGACGGATCGATGACTCCTCTCGAAGAACTCGACGACACGACAAAAGGACTCGAAAGTTGGTACGGGGCGGTTGTATTGATTTGGTTGTGAACGCCTATTACAATGGTCGAGGGTCAATATTTATACCCTAGGCGAAACACGAGTCCTAAAGACTACGATTTACAAAGGAACTCTTTAAATAAACTTGAAACTACGATTCCTTGCCCCAAACTCTCAAAGTCCTTTATTATTACAACTTTCATCTTCTCGATCGGCTTTGCTTGCCATCTTCTGCTTTCCCGAATGGAGTTATCGCCTTCCAGAATAACCGACCGCACAAGCATTTAGCCGACCGCTTGCGTTTTTTGCCGAACACTCTTCTTCCTGCATGTGGGTCCACCTGTCATCTTCCAGAATTGACCAAAATCCAGTGTTAACAGCATGATAAGTTCGAGCGACAACCATGGTGAGTGTCAATGTTGTTCTAGGCCTCAGCCTTCGAACATCGGGTTGCCGCATGAGCGAATGGATGGGACAAATAGACAAAACGAACACAAGATGAACGAAGTGTATGTAATTGATTCAATGAGTCATTCTTCTTCTTCCTTACAATCCCCGCCTTGGGGCTATTTATACACGCCCGTAGGCTTTTCATGGACCTAAATGCCCCCGCAACCACTACATATTCGAGGCATATTCCTCTTTGTCCTGGACCTAATTGCCTTTCAGAGATGTCGCCTGCCTCAAACGCCACCGGGCTTCGGGCTGCCGCTCGGTTCCGCGATGTGTCGCCACTTCTTCGACCCTGTGGGTCCAGCTGGACAGGAGTTGTCGGCATCCTGTCCCCCGGTGGCTTCCTCCAGTGCGAAACCTGCAAGGGCAATCACATACACGACTGTTACCGGTGACCAAGCCCCTAACCTGAGCGAGCGCGCACCGCTCCGTCTATTCACCAAGGCGAATAGCCGGAGCCTCGGAGTGCACTACACGCGCGTTCCGCCACATCGGACCCGAAAAAACAGATTTAATAATTTGCCAAAGCGAAAATAAACGCACGGCCCAACGCTCCACCACAGCACCCATCGCAAGGGCTCTTGAGAGGGCCATTTCGCCAGCGCGAAATGACATTCCTCAGTCCGCCGGGCCTCTTCGCCATGACGAAATGGGATGGCGACTGAATCTAAATTTCCCTCGACTTTGCGCGTGTGGCTGTCGTTTCGCATCGGTGAAACGTCTGCTGCTTTTGCGGACTGCGGCCCGGCTTTGGCGAGGACACCTTCGCCTAGGCGAAATTATGGACGTCGTATCCTGAAAGGAATGTTGGCGCCACTCCACCATTGCGAAATGGCAACGCCTCATCAGGGGGTGGCGGTCGGTGCCCGGGGTGCCTAAGTCTTCTTAATTTTTTCTGCACCAGTTGGTTCTTTTTTATAAAATGTGGCCCCGTTCGCGTGCCCTTAAACCCGACTTGATCCGCTTATTTTTTCATCCGGAACAGTGTTTTTTCTCACAAATTCTTTCAGCATTCCTCCAAACCATCCAGATTCCTCCAGAATTCAGACAAGCGAAACAGGCCCTTTGTGTTTTGCACAAAGTTTGTAAACAGCATGATTGGATTCCCCTGCAGACTTGAAGTCTTTTGTAGATGGAGGCGTCCATTGAGAACGGATTGGCAATGTCAGTGGTTTACCCGATTAGATGGACGCTTAATACTAATCCAAATCTCTAATCCTCAACTAATCCACGTCATGGATCCTGTGCTTCATCCACCTCGGCGATCCGGATGATATGATCCACCGTGGCAATCCGTGTGATGAGACCATTTGAATCTGATTGGTTCTTAACATACTCCCCCTCCCTCTCTGCTACAGCGTGTCTTTGGCCAAGCCCAGTATGATCTCTGCAGCTACGAGCTAGTCCTGCCAACCACCCCCTCCAGTCCACCATAAATAACAGAAAAAAAAATCCATTTGGCCATCTTCGAATTTGCTTTAACATTGATTCTCATTCTCGGATAACCGGATGCTTTTTTAGATAATGGAAAGAAGTTTTCGTCTTCATCCTCATTAAACTTATTACAACCAACTCTTTAAGACAGTCTCAAAATTTAGACAACAAACTCAATACCCAATTCTAAATTTTAAAGGTCATCTGTAAGTGCAGAGCGAAGCAGTCAGATTATAATATTTTCGCTGAGGGCTCAAACACAGCATTAAAACCCGATGCCTCTTCTACATCCTGCTCAGCTGCACATGATAGAGGGCCTAGTCCTAGAGGTCTTATCTTGTTATCCACTACGCATAATCCTTCGACTATTTAGCGCCAACAAATAATGAATTCAGTACCCCATCGTTCTCTACCATTCTACGCCATTACGTTCTCTAGGATTCCCCGTCAGAACTATTATAGGAGTACGTTTCAAGTGCAGTCTATAATATTTTTTCCTCGCTACCTTCTATGCTCAACTATGCTTCTCGATCGCTACATAAATAGGAAAACGATCAAAAAAAAATGCCGTTCTAATCAGCTCCTCCGACGATGGCTATGCCGTCGCCTGCGTGGTGGTCGCATCAGCAAGGACATGGGGTCTGCGTCCTGGGCCCCCCTAGAGTCAGTGATCGCTCCACCACCATCTCCTGTGAGCCAGTTCAGTGCCTCGCGCGCAGCATCCTTCTCCGCAAGTTTCTTGTTTGCACACGGCTGCCCCACGAACTGCATGCCATGGAACTCAACCGTTGACCTGAAGAGAGAGCTCTTGATCTGCTTCGTCTTGTAGGTAGGGTTGTTGTGCCCGGCCCGGGTCAGGAAAGTCTGGAGCTGGTTCTTGGCATTATCCCCTCCGTTACCACCACCGCCACTCATGGAGGATGGCAAAAGCATCGTCTTTGCTTTCTTTGATCTTGGCTCCTGTCGGCCGTAGACAAACCGCCCACTGCATGGGTCCTCAGTCACCAGCAAACGGATGGCTGATAGCAGCTCTTCACTCGTTTGGATATCCATCCTTGGGTTTTGGAGCTGTTAGAAAGAAATTTGTTATTAGCAAATGATTGATTCCTGAATGAACTCAACCAAATGACCACACAATGTGCATGTCTTAAATGATTGAGATATAGCAGAATTCAACCAAAGACCACACAATGCACGGGCTACGGAAACGGTTCGTTGTGCAAAGTGCTAAAACTCTTGGACGCCCACAAGCACCCAGCTAGTTAAAGGGGGTTGGAAGCCCAAGGTGTATCTGTGAAGTGTTACTCCGTCCTGAAAAGGATGCATAAGTCCTTTCCATAGTCAAACTATCCAAAGTTTGACCAAGTTCACAGAAGAAAAGAGTATCAATGTTTATGACAAAAAAATGGTCTACTATCAAAATATTCATGATGAATCTAATGACACTTATTTGGTATCATAAATATTGATTCTTTTTTATAAACTTGAAAATGATTTGACTCGATGTTAATTGCATGAAACCAAATAGTGTGCACCGAGTAGCGCCGTTGCAAAGATAAATTTGGGTGTTTAGTTGGAACTGGAACTGCCTATTTAAGCCTATTTATTATAGATTCAGAATGCCAGATCAAAAGTTTAAGAGCATGATGAATGCAGGCATAGAACATTATTACTACTACAACAACAACATAGCCTTTCAGTCCCAAGCAATTTGGAGTAGGCTAGAGTTGAAACCCACCAAGAGCCCCAAGTCACGGTTCAGGCACTTTAATAGCTGCTTTCCAAGTACTCCTATTCAAACATCTCTAGGTATATCCCAAGTTTTCAAATTTCTTTTTATTGCCTCCCCCATGACAATTTCGGTCTTCCTCTACCTCTCCTCGTATTATTAGCTTGGCTTAGAACTCCACAATGCACTGGTATCTCTGGAGGTCTTATTTGGACATGGCCAAACCACCTCAACTGATGTTGGACAAGCTTTTCTTCAATTGGTGCTACCTCTAGGCGATCACGTATATCATCGTTCCGAACTCGGTCCATTCTTGTGTGACCACAAATCCATCGCAACATACGCATATCTGCAACACTCAGTTATTGAACATGTCGAATCTTTGTAGGCCAACATTCTACTCCATATAACATAGCCGGTCTAATCGTTGTTCTATAGAACTTGTCTTTTAGCTTTTGTGGTACCCTCTTGTCACAGAGAATGCCAAAAGCTTATCGCCACTTGATCCACCCTACTTTGATACTATGGCTAACGTCCGCATCAATATCTCCATCCCTCTGTAGCATCGATCCCAGATACCGAAAGGTATTCTTCTTAGGCACTACTTGACCTTCCAAACTCACATCTCCCTTATGTACAACTCCGTCAAAGTCGCATCTCATGTATTTGGTTTTAGTTCTGCTCAATCTAAAACCTTTAGACTCAAGGGTCTGCCGCCACAACTCTAGTTTCCTATTTACTCCCGCCTGGCTTTCGTCCACTAACACTACATCATCAGCGAACAACATACACCAAGGGATATCCCCTTGTATGTTCCTGGTAACCTCATCCATTGTCAAGGCAAAGAGATACGGACTTAAGGCTGACCCTTGATGAAGTCCAATTTTAATCGGGAAGTAATCTGTGTTACCATCGTTTGTTCGAACACTAGTCGCAACATTGTTGTACATGTCCTTGATGAGGGTCACGTACTTTGATGGGATTTTATGTTTGTCCAAAGACCACCATATAACATTTCTTGGTATCTTGTCATAAGCCTTCTCTAAGTCAATGAAAACCAAGTGGAGGTCCTTCTTCTGCTCTCTAAGCTCTCTAAACCGCTCCATAACATGTCTTATTAAGAAGATTGCTTCTGTGGTTGACCTTCCGGACATGAAACCAAATTGATTTGTTGATATCTGTGTCGTTCCTCGTAGGCGCTGTTCGATAACTCTCCCATAACTTTATAGTGTGGCTCATCAACTTAATTCCCCGATAATTAGTACAACTTTAGATATCTCCTTTGTTCCTGTAGATTGGTACCAATATGCTTCTTCTCCACTCTGGCATCTTGTTCGATCGAAAGATATTGTTGAACATCTTGGTTAGCCATACTATAACTATATCCTCGAGACATCTCCACACCTTGATTGGGATACCATCAGGGCCTATCGCTTTGCCCCCTTTCATCTTTTTCAAGGCTTCTCTGACCTTCGATTCTTGAATCCTCCGCACAAAGCGCCTGTTAGTGTCATCAAACGAGTGGTCCAGCTGAACGGTGGTGTTCTCGTTCTCACCATTGAACAATTTATCAAAATACTCTTACCATCTATGTCTGATCTCATCCTCCTTCACCAAGAGCTACTCCCTCTCATCCTTTATGCACTTACTTGGTTGAAGTCCCTTGTTTTCCTATCGCGAGCCCTAGCCATCCTATAAATATCCTTCTGTCCTTCATTCGTACTCAAACGTCGGTAAAGGTCCTCATAGGCCCGCCCCTTTGCCTCACTCACCGCTCGTTTTACAGGCTTCTTTGCCACCTTGTACTTCTCTATGTTGTTTGCACACCTGTCATAATACAAGCGCTTATAGCACTCCTTTTCCTTAATAGCCTTTTGCACATCTTAATTCCACCACCAAGTGTCTTTCGAGTCGCATCCGCTCCCTTTGGTCACTCCAAGCACCTCTGAAGCAACCTTCCGAACGCATGTTGCCATCTTCTCCCACATGTTGTTTGCATCGTCTTCATCATTCTAAGGGCCCTCTTCAATGACCTTTTTCTTAAAGACCTTTGATGCCTCCCCTTCTAATTTCCACCACTTCGTTCTAGCAACCCTAGCTTGTTTGTTCCCACGAGTTTGCACCAGAAAGCGAAAGTCAGCCACCACCAGCTTGTGTTGAGCGACCACATATTCTCTAGGTATCACCTTACAGTCCACGCATGTTCGTTTATCCTTCCTTATAAGGACAAAGTCGATTTGACTAGAGTACTGGCCGCTACTAAAGGTCACTAAATGGAACTCTCCTACGGAAGAAAGTGTTAGCTATCATCAGATCAAAAGCTATGGCGAAGTCTAAGACTTCCTCTCCCTCCCGGTTCCTACTACCATATCCGAAACCCCCATGAACCGCCTCGAAACCTGCACTTTATGTACCTACATGGCCATTAAGATCACCTCCTATAAAGAGCTTCTCGGTGGATAGCTCTAACCAAGCGATCTAAGTCTTCCCAAAAAAGCCGCTTAGCACTCACATCATGGCCTACTTGGGGGCATACGCACTAATTACGTTTAAGATCATATCACTAATGACAAGTTTAACTAAGATGATCATATCCCCTTGCCTTCTCACCTCCACCACACCATCCTTGAGGCTCTTATCAATCAAAACTCCTACTCCATTTTTATTTGAAGTTGTCCCTGTGCACCAGAGCTTGAAGCCGGTATTGTCCACCTCCTTCACCTTCTGCCCCTTCCATTTAGTCTCTTGGACGCATAAGATATTTACACACCTCCTAATCGCTGTGTCCACTAACTCTCTTAACTTACCTGTAAGAGACCCTACATTCCAGCTACCTAAACAGATCCTAGTTGACTCGACTAGCTTCCTTACCCTTCGCACCCGCCGAGGTAGGTGTGAAGACCCTTACTCATTTTGCACCACACCCGGGCGCCGATGTGGCACGCCACTAAGGATGCGACGACCTAATCCTTGCTTACTTGACACCGTGTCCAGATCGCGACACGGCGTGTCACGGGGGTGACGACCCGGCCCTTGCTCATTTAACACCATACCCAGGTTCTGACATGGCGCGTCGCTAAGAGGGTTACGCCCCAACGGGATTCTTTTGGGTTTCATCTCCATTAAAGTAGCCAAGTTTTTACATTGGCTAGCCGCGCCTAACACAACCCTCCTCCTTCACCAGGGTTTGGGACCTGCTATGCTGGGACACCAAAGGCGCCCCACCATAGGTGGAGTTTGGCATAGAACACTACTAGAAATTGATAATACCTTGCAATGGATTAAATTCTCAAGTTCACTCTTCAGACTCAAATAAGTTGAAGCAAGATCACGATTCATGAAGAACTCAATATAACCTCCAAGCATTTTTAAGTGTCCATCCTGCAGCATGCAACAAATATTATGCAAAGATACATCAAGTCAGAAAAATAAGATTTCCGATACAGCAATGCAAAGGAACATACCAAGCCCCCCTGTTTTATGCAGCCTCCGAATAACAACAATATAGAATCAGATATAGCAGTTGAATCCCGGAGGAAAACAGAATTCACCTTCACCTTCTCATTGAAAACTAGCCAGGGGAATGGAATCTTGGCTTCTTTACCATTAACCGAACTCTGGAAACAAAAAAAGAGAACCTAGATGAAACTGTCATGTAAAGCCACTGATAAAATTCAAATTTATGTAGAACACAAAAACTTACCGAATAAAGCATAACCTGTCCATCCTCCATTGTCTTGAGGGAGATGGATTTCTCCTTGTTCTGAAATTATCAAGAACCAAATGAAAAATCACAAATCACGACTTCAAATTTCACAATATATACTAGCATCAGACCATTAACAGCAGTTATCTTCCACATAAAGTATAGAACAATAAAACCTTAATAAAGCATAATAAGTGTGAAAATAAGCAATCGTTAAAAGCAGGGTATGTAAAATAAACTTAAACAAAAGAAACTCACCACAACAGAGGAAACACCTGGATATAGTCCTGCACAAATTACTGCCCGAACTAGATTTTCATCACGGCTCCATTTATTGCACACAGTCATGTTTTCATCAACCAAACCAGTATCCTTCAGAAGAAAGAGAAACTGACGCCGAAGAGAATCTATTGCTTTCAATGTTTGTACCGAAAGAAAATTTTTCCAGCAGTAGTCATAACCAGCACGGTCTCTTTCAGCCTCCCTCCATCCTTCATATGCACGAACAAGTGCAAGATGATCACTGTAGTCCCGACATGAAAACTGCAATTTAGCTGACTCTGCAAGCTGCACAGACAAAGTAGCATCATTTCCACTAGCAAAAGAAAAGGAGGTACACCAAAAAACTAGGAAAACAGTACTACCTCCAGTCACAAATACTTGATGCTTTGATCGCAATACAGTCAAACTTTTAAAACTGTAATCATTAACAGCTTTTCAAATATTTAGTTTGGAAACATATATCTTAAATGTAGATTTTCTTTAAAAGTAGTTTCACAATCTAATATATTTATTAGATGTTATTATAATGTTCTCAAAAAATAGCCATCAAAGTTGTGCACTGAAGAGTGAAGACCAAAGTCAACATCGTCAAGTGCTTTTGGCCAGAGATACTAATAGAAATCAAAACACAATGCGTGCTATATATTTGAGTGTTCCAGAATAGGCAAACAAAATTGGAATATTAAGGTATACTTACATCTTTCTTATCGAAGGGGGTCAAAAAAGGATCTCTAACACTAAGTCCAGAAACTATGGTTAATATGGGGTCCAGACAATTAAAAATAGCCCCAAAAATAAGCATCTTTCCTAACTTAGGTTCAACTGGAAGCGTAGACAAGTGCTTTCCTGAAAATGGCAAACAGTAAGCGTAGTCAGCATACAAGCTCCAAAAGCTACAGAGATGCAGAATAAAGCAGTGGTAATGTGAAAAATTAATCTTTAGGGTGAATCTGGTACCAAGAACCGTCAACTCTTCATTCTGATCAAAAGCTCCAATGACTTTGAGATATTCAATGGCATTTTGTACCTGGAAAAAGAAATAAATTAATATATCAAATCCATTTGAACAGAAAGAAGAGCAGAACTTTTGTTAGTGGTGATAAAAAAAAAGCAAACCAAACTTACTGATAGAGATTCAGGTGATTGTAAAGCTCTGGATAAAAATTCTGATATACTTCCTAGCCTCAAGCTTTTTATTTGCAAACAGAGGGATTGGAGAGGGGTTCTCAGAAGTTCTGGTAACTGGTAGTCAGCAAATGCATCATATACAGATCGTGGATAAAGATGGTAGCACTCCCCTGGTTGGACTCGACCAGCTCGTCCTCGTCTCTATATTATATTCACTTATTCAGTTAGAAAACTAAAATGAGGTAAGTGATGAAATAGAATGGATTTAGACAAAGTTTCAGGTTAAAAGCCACATCAATTGCTCTATTGACATATCTGTAACCATGGCAATAACTAATCAAAGTAAGAGCAATGGTGAAACTAAAGCGTTAGTAATATGTATATAAGAAAGAAAATATTACTTGTCTGGCAGAAGCCTTGGAGATCCAGGTTGGAAGCAAACAGGGAGTATTATTCAGTGCATCGTAAGACGTCTCTTTTGCCTTGCCACAGTCAACAACAAAAACTACATCGTTGATAGTAATACTAGTTTCAGCCAAATTCGTGGCAAGAACTATTTTCCTTACTCCAGGCTCAGGCCTATCAAATATTAATTTCTGCACAAAAGGTGGACAAACGTGTCAACAAATTAATGCATACTCATTACACCAGGAGAAACGAAATGGCAAAAAAGATTCGCTCTTCCACCCCTGACCAACATTGTGTATAACATGACAACAGAAATGTCTATCACACAATCGACTTAAAAGTTATAGCTCATTAAAAAATAAGTTACCTAAGAAACGAAAAAAAATAAAATTTTAATGAAGTCAGAGAACTTCCAAGCACATCTATGCAGACATTAGCTAAGCAATTTACAGGCAACCAAAAATAGGATTTCAATATCTTAGATATGTTAAATATAAATCAACAACATAAATCTATATAGATAGTTGCTCTCATACAACCAATATTGTTGAAATTCCAGATGTTCTCAACAAAGTGTAACGTGCTAGCCAGTACTCACTCCATTTCACAATAAAGCCACCACTCACTGAGTCCAAAGGAGTCTCAAGCCTAAGAAAACGTTGACACCAATATTGACAACATATGGCCACATCAAATTGCAAAGTGTTGTGGCCTTTTCCACACTACTAAAGTAAGGGCAGTGAGTGAAAAAACATACCAATAACACCATCATTTTCTCTAATTCACTTGTAATGTGAAACAGACTCCAGAGTTTACAACATATTGTAAAACAGACTCTACTATTATGGAATAACTAGTAAATAACTTGGGCAATCAGACAATATAGTGTCAGTATCACCACCACAGTTAAATATTTTGTTGCTTGAAATATACTCCCTCCATTCCAAATTATAAGACGTTTTGACTTTTCTAGATTCATAGCTTTGGCTATGCACTTAGAGTCTTAGATATTGTTGGAGGTACAGAGTGTTTTTACTCAGTCAGGGATGACACACCCAGGCGACTGCTCTTTCATATATAGGAGATAAGTAGCACATTGATTACATTGATGGCTCATTAGAGCATTAACTAAACAGCTAACTGCCTGGGTACTTGCACAGTCACTTGTGCTGCCCAAGGCCTTAATAGCGAGAAACATAATTAAGCACAGATAACTAAGTGATAAGCGGGAGCAGGACTTAACTTCTACAGTTCTCCCCTAAGACCTGCTTCCCCATCCTTGATCTTCATGATCCCAATCTTGCTTCTCATGTCTTCAAACTTGGCCTTGCCTAAGGCCTTAGTCGAATGTACGCAGATTGATCATTTGTGGCGGACGAACTCAGTCTTGATGCTGCCTTCTTCAACACAATCTCGATGAAGTGTTGTTTGATTCGATATGCTTGCTTCTGTCATGAAAGACAGGGTTCTTTGCAAGTGCTATTGCTGATTTGTTATCCACTCGCAGCTCTACTACTTCCACTTTCTTTCCCAACAATTCAGCAAGTAACACGGACAGCCACAGAGCTTGTGTTGCAGCAGTAGTCATGGCAACATACTACGCTTCACAGCTAGATAAGGCAACCACTCTTTGTTTAATGGACTGCTAAGCTGACCAGATTGTTGCCTAGGAAGAATAGACAACTGTAGTGCTCTTGCTTGAGTCAATATCTCCAGCCAAGTTCGAGTCACAGTAGCCAATGAATCTGGCTTCACTTTGGATGCCTTGGTGAAGTGCGAGCCATACTGCATCTTTCGCCACATACCGGAAGGATACGCTTCTTCGCTCTGGCGATGCTCTATGGTGGGCCTCTCAGAAATCTACTCACAAACCCATTGCAAATGCCAAGTCGGTCGAGTATGAACCAAATATCGCGGAGCTTCCAAACCAATTTCAGATTGTGTTGGATCAACTTCCTTGGCTGTACTCTTCTTGCTCAATCTTAGCCTTTCCTCCATAGGAGTGGACCATTGGTTGCAGATCCACCATACCACCCAATTCAAAGATCCTTTTGGCATAGTGAGTCTGTCTAAGGGTGATGCCATCGGTGCTCTCTGCATTGTACTTCAATGCCCGGATAGAAGCTTAAGAGCCCGAGGTCACTCATCTCAAATGTTGCTTTCATTTCAGCCTTGAAGCTTTCAACATCCTCGCTCTTTGGCCCCTGTGATGATCAAATCATCCACATACACACCGACAAGCAACAGAGAGTTTCCGAACCTCGCCTATAGATTGCGACTTCATGGTTGCTTTGTCTCGAAACCTTTCTTCTTCAATGTTGAATCAAGCTTTGCATTCCATGCTCTTGGTGCTTGCCGAGGCCATACTGAGCTTTGCATAAGCGATACACCTTGTCTTCTTGTCCAGCAACAACAAAGCCAAAGTGGTGATGCACATATACCTCCTCGTTGAGGTCTCCATTCGTAAATGCGGACTTGGCGTCCATCGATGAACAGACCAACCCTCCTGTGCCGCCAGAGCCAACAAGACTCGAACGGATTCCATGCGTGCGGCGGTAAAGCATCATCATAATCCACGCCTTCTTGTTTGGACAAAGCCACGAGCGACAAGTCCGGCTTTGTGTTTGATAACATTACCGTGTTCGTCCTTCTTCAATTTGAACACCCACTTTCAGGTGATTGGACGGTGACGGCAGGAGGCTTCACAAGCTCCTGTGTCTTGTTTTCTCTCTCTCGATCGCAGCTCTTCTTTCATTCTTTTTGCGCACCACCTGGATCTCTCTGGCTTGATGATATGGTTGGTTCGCGAGTGCATTAGATGCGACTCTGCGAACAAAGCGAAGTTGCAGGTGGCGGTGTGGGTCTGGCGGCCAATGATATTGCTTGCGATTCAGAGCGAAGTGGTTCATCCTCGTGATAAGCATCCAATCGATCATCATCATCCTCCGAGGCGTGGCATGCTCAATCCCGAGGACTTGGTGGCGGTGGTGACACTTCCAAAGTGCACTGGAGCGTAATTAGCTTGAGGATGAGTTGATCGCGGAGCCCTCTGCTCCTTCAACTCAATTGGGCTGTTTAGTGCGGGTGTTCTTGGTGAATCCGGGAGCAGAGGCGGCAAGCATGGCCTGGTTCGCTTCGCCTCCTCGACCGGACATACTCAATGTGAATTCATGCTTTGTTCACGGTGATGGCCCAGATTCGGCGAGGACCAATCCCAACCATGTTCTTCATCAAATACAACATCACGGTGATCCGACACGCCCGCTCACAGCTCAAACACCCTATATGCCTTAGCTCATTCGCAGATAACCAATAAACACGCTTGCGGCTCGCGCCGCGGTCATCAAGTTTTTGCAAATTGACCGAGCTTCCTTGTGTATGCACACACCCAAACACTTTCATGTGTCCCGAGTTGGTGAACGTCCATGCCGGGCCTCATATGGGGTGATCCCCTTCAACGCACGTGTCGGTGATCGGTTCAGTATGTGGACTGCTGTCATCACAGCCTCCCCCCAAAACCGAGCTGGCAGGCCCCTCTGCTTAAGCAGTGCCCTTGCCATGGCCACTACTGACTGATTGCGCCGTTCAACTACCCCATTCTGCTGAGGTGAGTGGGGAGCACTGAAGTGCCTCTTAATGCCTTGTTCTGCGCAGTAGGTAGCGAAATCAAGAATCGTGAATTCTCCTCCATTATCGGTGCGAAGCACCCTGATTTTCTGACCACTCTCCGCCTCTGCGCTCAGTTTGATGCGCTTGATGGCTTCTGCTGCTGCATCCTTGCTTGGTATGAGCGCTGCCCACATGAAACGGCTAGCGTCATCGACGAGCAGCAGGAAATATCGATTCCCTCCGGTGTTGCGTGTGTCTTTGGTCCGCATAAAGATCGCCGTGCACCGGCTCAAGGGGCTGTTTGGCACGCAGATCGTGTTGCGGTTGGGAACGGGCGCCTTCTCATTTTGGTGGTGACACGGTGTCACACACACCGCTCCACATGGTCAATAACCGGGACATCATGCGCCATTCCTCCTTCCCAAGTCTGCGGAGTGCATCAAAATTCAAATGCCCCATCCTCTCATGCCACTGCCACGCTACATCTCCTCTGCATGCTGCAAGACAAAGTGGCTGGGCTGCATGAAGTTGGAGTGTGTACAATCTGTTAGCCCCTCTCTTCACCTTGGCAATCAAAGCGGCGGTGTGTTCCCGAGACACGTAACACGTCGTGATATATCTCCACCTTGGAGCCGGTCTAAAAAGTCGACCCGCATCGATAATGGAATTCTTCAGGGCTGGTATATAGTACACACCCTGCAGCACCCTATGCTCACCAGTTCTTCCTTCGAAAGCAATCGAACCGATGCCTTTGATGTCAACCTTGGACGCATCTCCAAATCGGACCGTGCCTCGCACGTCCGTGTTCAAGTCAGAAAAGAGCTCACGCCGTCCAGTCATATGGTGTGTAGCTCCTGAATCAAGGTACCACACATCTGCCTTTTCTTCATCGCCATTGGCACCAAGGAAGGCGCGGGCTTTTGGTTCTTCCAGATTCACCTCTTGAGCAGCATAGGTGTATGCCGGCGCGCACTTATCAAGATCAACGAGCCCATGCGCCAGAAACAGAGCCCCATCATCCTCGCATTCTGCATACTGCACACGGCCATTGTGGCCGCCGTCACCGCCGCCTGCGCCCCCTCGGCCACCAGCGTGCTGGCCTTGATTGCCACCGCGGCCGCCGCCACGACGGCCTCTGCCCCGTCCGCCGCCGCGGTCACCGCCACCATCACGGTCACCATCTCTGTCTCGCCGTGGATGAGGCGATCTCTTGCTTGATGGCCTCCCAGCCACAATTGTGGCGTGTATCGCGCCACCAGCGTCCACCATCGCGCCGCCGCCACCGCTCTCTTTCTCGCCCGCCGGCCGCATGATCATGGCCACCACCACCGCCGCCTTGGCCGCGCGCCACCGATTCTTTGAACTAGAGCCGGCAGAATCATCCCCGCCGCCTTCTTCTCCTTCTTCGGCGGCGGCGCGCCATTGCTCCTCATATACATGAGCTTGTCGCCGACGGTGATTGGCTCGGTGGCGCTTGCTCTTCACGGTCATCAACGACCTTGAGCCTCCCAAATGGCTTCCTCAAGCGTGAGCATGTCAAAGTCCGAAAGCGCTCAATAGCAACCACAATCTGCGCATATTTCGACGGTGATCATCAGACGCAGATATTTCTCCACCACACGCCTCTCATCGATGTCCCGATCACCATGAAGGACAAGTCGTCGATCTGCAGAGTTGAGAGGCGGAAGGCAAAATCTTCGACGCCTTCTCTCCTAACTTGACACCGATGTTCTCCCGATCGCGGCGGATGCGTTGCGGCGTCGCGGCGGACCTCTCCCGCCCGCGCCGATGCGCAGAAGCAACTATGGCGTCCCCACGCCTCCTTCGCCGTCCGCTTGTCGATGAGCGGAATCCCCATCTCCTTGGGAACCGGCTGCGACAATCGCCTCCATAGCCCGCCCGGCCGTCATGGAAGCGAGACCCGCTCTCTCCTTCAATCAAGGCCCCACAGATCGCGGGCTGCATTCGCGATTTCATCTCTTGGCTCCATTCGTGGTAGTTCGTTTTGGACAGCATCGGCCGATTCGTGCTGCATTGCCGAGTCCTCAGATACGACCACTGCATAGCGCGACTCGACGCCTGCGCCACCATGGCCACGTCATGGATCGGAGATGGAGATGGAGACCTCCGGCAGCGAGCTCTTGACCTCCTCCTCTCCTTCTTCATACTCCAGCTCTCTTCTTCCTTCTTCTTCATTGCAATCTCTCCTCAAGGCACCAGCAGGTCCTTGCCGCGCCTTCTCTGCGGCCGCCGCCGCTTTCTGCCGCGCCGCTGGACCGCTTTCAGCACTGCCTCCTCTCTGACTTTTAAGCGCGCGGCCCGGCCAGAGGAGTCTCTCGCGATCGGCCGACGCCCTTTGCACCTTCCTTCATTTCGAGAAGATGTCGAGGCCATGGATGATGAGAAAGGGAAGGGGCTCGAGTAGAAGATGAGAGAGAGGTGTCTAACCTAGGCTCTGGTACCAATTGTTGGAGGTACTGAGTGTTTTTACTCGATCGGGGATGACACACCCAGCGATCGCTCTTTCATATATAGGAGATAAGTAGCACATTGATTACATTGATGGCTCATTAGAGCATTAACTAAACAGCTAACTGCCTGGGTACTTGCACAGTCACTTGTGCTGCCCAAGGCCTTAATAGCAGAAACATAATTAAGCACAGATAACTAAGTGATAACTGGGAGCAGGACTTAACTTCTACAGATATACACTATGTCTAGATGCAAAGTAAAAACAATGTATCTAGAAAAGCCAAAACGTCTTATAATTTGGAATGGAGGGAGTATAACTTCTTTTTTGTTCCAAAAGTTCAAAAGTAGGCACACTAATGCAATACAAATCATTGTAGTAGTCTTGGTAATACCTGCTCTGAACTGGCCATAGAACCATGACAAGCGAGCAACAAAACTTTGCTTGGATCTCCAAGCAGTGGATTTGCTTGCAGCTGCTCTTTTAATGAATTAATGTCATCCCACCCAGTCATAAATACAAGTATTGCACCTGATTGTTCCTTTTGACAAATATGGCATAAGACACTTTCTATTAAATTAAAACCAATTGAATCAGGATTCCAACAGGATAGAGAATCGCGAGTTCGCGAACTATAGTCTCTCAAATCAGCAGCTTCAACTGCATCCTGTTCAAAAGCAAACTTTAGAGACCAAAGCTTTGAGCATAAAAAAATGGCCAAGAAAATATGAACTACCGTACTTCCACAACAGAAGCGATTTGGCTCTTCCGCTTTCGTAGAGCTTGCTTTTGCATCTTCCAACTTTTTTCTTGGCCATAGTCATCAATTTGATTGTAAGGAGTTAACCGGTGCCCAGTAATTTCAAGAATATCTTCCAGAAAACGACTCCGAACAGGATAAGTAAAACCCTGAGTTGAGATAAATCCAATTGTTATGAAAGGACATCGAGATAAAATTTACACAAGGAGCTATGGCAAAGCACAAAAGACTCAAAACAAATTTCATTCTAGCAAGGAAAGTGAGAAATTTCATATAAGAAAGCAATTGATGTAAACAAGTGCACAAATGAATGTAAAATAATAGGAAATATTACAGAAGTAGAACAACATATATAGTAAGTATTACAAATTGATTTGCAACATATGGCTTCAAGTTCAAATATAAAAAAATGCGATATGGAATTGATACCTAGATTGAGCATGAGATGCTATCTTTTGTTCAAGGTGGTAAAGCTGCTAAACTGGCAGGTAGAGCAAGACTTTTCATGATTTTGGTGTTCTTGCCCTTGCTGTAGAGGCCAATGGTGATTTTAGCCTTTCTTTTTCAACTTTGTGATTTACCCTTGCATTTTGGAAATGAATGAGTCGTCTGCCTCTGATTTGGACGGCAGTTAACTCTGGCAGGATTAAACGGATTAAAAAGAAAAAGAAAAACGAAACATATGGGAAAAGGACAAAAGTGCCCCTTATCCACTTATCCTCATCCCATCCCATCATTTCATCGACGCGAAGCAAAGACCCAGTAACATCCCATCCCCATCTCCCGTCACGTTCGCATCAAGCGCTAGTGGCAAAGGCTAGAGGCAAGAGGTGCGAGCAACAGCCATGGCAGGAGGCGTGCGCAGGGTCCAAACGGTAGCTGCAGCACAAGGAGCTGCGCTGGTCAAGGCCGGCAGCCACAGCTGCTATGTGGCCCAACGGACGCAGCAGGAGGTGCTCACAGGTCGGACAAGCTCTGCGTGACATGGCTTGAGGCCGGCTACGGCGCAGTGATCAGGGCACGGGCGGCAAGCACGTGTGGTGCGGTGAGCTTGGCATGAACAGCATGTGGGCCACAACATCTGCAGGCGCATGCGGCACAGAATAGCAGAAAGAGTGCGAGGCACAGGTCCAGGTGCGCGACCCGCTCGCACAAGGCCAAGGTGACTGAGGCGTGCTTGCTAACCAAAGGCGCGACAAATCTGTGATGACAGAACGGTCATTGGCTGGGGCCGCCATGCACTACTTCGCCACCTGCATGTGCTGAGGAGACCAATGTGGCACATATGTGCATCGCCGCAATAGAGACCATCATGTTTGCCTACAATTGGATGGCTCATGGCTACATGGACGAGCCTGACAGGTAAGCAGCTCCGCAGCTTGACGTGGTGACGCCAAGCAGGTGCTCGGGGAATTGCCTGGGAGGCTTTTGTTCCATTCCTTGCCTGCATACTACTTTCCATTGTCGCGTGTGTAGATTTGTAGTGTCATCATGTTTTTACAAGGGCAACTGATGTTTCACATCTGATCTCATCGCAGGACACATGGAATTAGGAGCATTTGTGCTACCACTTAGATTAGATGAATGTCTTCAGTAATATATTCAATCTCCGTGGCATGGTTAGCTAATTGTTGCTACTCAGACTTCTTATATGAATAGGGCAAACTCAATCACCAGTTTGAAAAGGCGAGGGCAAAATCACCAAGTTAAAAAAATAGGGGTAAAATCAACATTGGCCTTGGAAGCAAGGGCAAGGACAAAAGAAAACCCAGACTTTTTATAGCATACTACTTATGTTCAGGATTATATGACAATGAAGAAGGATGGGAGTGAAGTGTGAACCAATGCCTATTGACTAATGACAGACAAGACTGATGAATGCAAAAAGGTCTTAAAAAAGTATCTTACAGGTATGTGTATCATGGGTGCTCCACCAAAGTATGAAGAGAATAGCTCAGCGTTAAGGGTTGCACTCATCAATATAAGTCTCAGCTCAGGACGACGTGGAAGAAGATCCTTTAAGACAATAAGAAGAAAATCTAGCACAAAGACCCCAAAATAAAGATTAGCATAAATTTACAAAAATGAGCCCATTGCTAAACATTTTTAGTACTAATAGAAAATAAGTGTGACTAACGCAGACCTTCATTCATGCCCCTCTCATGGATTTCATCAACGATAACATGGGTAACACCTTTCAAATTTCTGTCCACCAACAATCTCCGCAACAGGACTCCAGTGGTGCAGAAAAGAAGGCGTGTATCCCTTCCTCTCATGCCTTCCAGTCGAACTTTGTAGCCAACCTAAAGATAAGGATACATCGTCATGATAGACAAAATTCAAGAAAAGATCATCAAATTTTGCAAAAATATTTAGCTGCAGATCACAAAAGTATAAGGTGAGTGATACTACTCATCTTAAGAGGGAAAAAATACAATAGGCCCAATAGGCCACTGGAGCATGACTCCTAGCCGAACATCAAACCACTTATGGATGGCAAAAATGATCTAAGCCTTTTTGGGATGTGTTTGGATTGGGGATGGTTTTGGGATAGAAGGATCTGACCTATGTATTTGGTAGGAGGGATAGAACCATCCCAGTTTTGTGTTTGGTATGAGGGGCAGGGAGCAAGAGCATGGACACCGTTTACTAATCCGTCATCTACCATCTCCTGTGGGACCTGGATGTCAATCACACAAAGGACACATCTGGCCATGGCACAAAGCAGAGGGGCAGTTACCGCCGCATCAAGATCTCACCATGGCTCACCGTCAGGGGCAATGAGGCCGCGCTCCAGCATGCCATCCACCATCAGAGCAGCGTGGCAATGAGGTTGAGCATCTGCTCCAGCATGATGAAGCAGTATTGGGAGATGAGGTTGGTGTAGGCGCGTAGCAGCCTGGTGGAGCAGCACCAGTGAGGGCACAAGGTCCCCTGAACATCTGCCATTGGCCGGAGGCCCTATCCAAGCAGGCTCTCACCCTCGCTGGACGGCCACCATCAGGGCTCGCCCTTGCCTAGAACTTTCTCCCCAATCAGGATCCGAGGGAGGAGGATGGCATCAACGCTGAGTCGAGCTCAACTTGGATCGGAGGAAGAGGATGGCGACCACGGCAGCAGGCGTGCATGCCATCAACCTCCACCACGGCCACCATGGACGCCCTTGCCACATGCCAGCGGATAAGGGCAGAGTTGTTCAGGGAGGTAGAAAAATGGAGAAGATGAAGAGAGACGAGAGGCAGAGAAACGGAACCGCACGGCGATGAAGTGAGGTGGCTCAATCCCCTTTTTTTTTGCGGGATTCACTCATCCAATTTTTCCTGTGTGGGATGTCTCTATCCTACCTGTCCTGAATCAAACACCAATAAAATTGGGATCCTCCCGTCCCACCCCATCCCTTGAACCAAACGCTACCTTGGAGTCCTGGAGAACATCTTCAGACTAGAGTACCCAGGAATTCCCCATAGAACACCACAAAATCATATACTCCCATCATTCAAAAAAAAAAAAGATTGTAATAATTCTGCAGGTACAATTAGCTCACCGATTCACCAATTTTCTCGCCTCTTTCAGCAGCAACTCTTTCGGACACAGAAATTGCTGATATTCGTCTCGGTTGAGTGCAAATAATACTGCACGTAGCACCACGAGCAGCATCGATTTCAGATTCTAGAATGTACTGCGGTAGTTGTGTCGTCTTACCGCAGCCAGTCTCACCTGAAACTACAATGACCTGCTCAACCAAACAAGACATGTTAGCCGCTAACATAGCCGAACAACAACAACAAAGCCTTTTAGACCCAAGCAAATTGAGTAGCCTAAATGCTAACGAATATTCAGCCAGAAATGCTATATGATAGTAAACTTGCAAACAAATACAAGTTGATTTATTGGCTTTCTGATGCTAAGAAGGATGTGCACATTAAAACTTCAACAGATATCCAAGGTTCTAAGGTTTTATAACAAAAAAAAGGGAAAACAAAAGGAACTGGTAGGCTCATTTAGCTACAAGCAATAAAATTTGTTTGACATTTTTGCTAGATCATTTAGTTTAATGCTTTTTTCCAATAATATGTGCTATCGTTGCACCACTACATGTTCATCATTCATTTCAAATCTTCTTACATTAGCTGCAATTCATTATGATAACAATTGTTCATCAGCGTTGGATACTATCGGACACATGCATATCTGGAACAAGAACACTCATTTCAAATCTTCTTACATTAGCTGCAATTCATTATGATAACAATTGTTCGTAGATGTTGGATACTATTACACACATGCATATCTGGAACAATAAGAACAGCCGACGAGGACCTGATTCTGTGATATAGCTTCCAATAAAGTTTGCTTCTCTTTATAAGCAGGAAGACTGCGACGAAACTCCATCATGCTTTGACCATCATTTGATTCCTGAAAAGGGTACAAGTTCAGTCAATACAGTACATGGCATGAATCAAAGACAATCATCATATCCTATGAAACTGATTCAAAAAGGGCAAAGTTCAGCAGAAAGAATTAACACCAAATCAACGGTGCTAAATCAAACCTACCACCAAAAAATCCAAGATGGAAGTTTTGGCAATTTAAATAGACCAATTTGCAAGTATGTTCTTTCCAAGAGAGAAGAGTATGATTGTTCAATCTGTCAATAAGTAGTGATACAACAAAACATGAAGCACAGACTCACAATACCCTAGAAACAATACCTTTAAAAACAAACCCAAAGAAAATTGATCTCTATAAATCGTAGACAGAACAGATTAAGAGAACATTGACCTAAAATAAAAGCCTGAAACTATGACTAACATGCACACTCACTATCTCAACAACAGAAAACTAAGGTGCGGTAAGAATATAGTACTCCGTATGTCTCATACTTTAGATTATTAACGAATACAATGTTGTTTAGAAAAGTGGCATGAAAATACCTCAAAAAATCTATTAATGGATTTGCTTTCACATATATATATTTTGCCTGACATAAAATAACGGTGTACTTTCATCATAAAGACAATAAGAGGTACTTAAGACATAATATGGAACAACAAAGCCTTTTAGCCCTAAGCAAGTTCAGAAGGCTAGAGTTGAAACCCAAAATGAGTCACCACAAAAAGAGAAAGAAAGAAAGAGAAAAGGTAAATAACTATACGCAAGGCATCACTAATAGTGATATTATTAAGGGAATCTAAAGCCTGTAATTCAGGCACTAGAACCACAAACTGATTTCCATGTGCGCTTATTCAAGTACAATTCCTTGGGTATATTCCATCCTTTCAAGTCCTGTTTTATTGCATCCTCCCATTAAGTTAGCAGTGCATACAAAGAAAAATGCAACCAGTCAGCTTCAGCGTCCCTTATTAGCAAATAAAAAACATTTTGCAATGTTTTTTTTAAAAAAATCAAATATAAGAATGTATGTAGCACACAAAAAGTTCAATTTCAAATTCATCTTTGATATCAAGATTCTAAAAACAAATTTGATAAGTTAGCACATGATAAACAATGCCAGGCTGCTTGTGTAACTTTTTCTTAACATATAGGATACATCTGAGAGACTGAAACTGGATATTTGTAGGTTTACTTAACTAGACGTATTGCATACATAATTTTTTTTACGAGTTTTGCAATTTGCAATACTGCAACAGGCAGATTTCGCCAATGAGGAGATCGCCAGAACCTCTGGATATATAATGCACAATCTTCAAAACTTCAGACTAACAGTGAAGTGCCACTTGAAATGGATATGTTATCAGAATAATGCAAACATTATCATAGGAACTTCCATCCTCATCATGTCTTAAGGATAGGAACGCGACAGCAAGAAGTCTAAATCTTAAAATCAAACCTGCCAAGCAGCCTGCTGATTCCGCAACTGCAGGCTTTTCCTTCGTTGGATTCTGTCCATCACAGCACTAGTGGAAGTTTGCTTATCTTGCTGATCAAAGAAGCCTTCATCAGTTGCAAAACTGTCTGTGCTGCTTGACCGTGAGAAGGCTGAACTAGGGAAGTTCCCGATGTTTGTTCTCTTCCGTGCAACATAATCTGCAAGCAGAGCATCAACTTCTCTTTGCAAACCAGCAGGTATAGATACCTAAAAAACAAATACATGAGTTAACATCAATACACACAGCACACACATTTTTTAAACATTTAAGCTGCTAGAAAACTGGCTCACCTCTCTTTGGGGTCTTTTGTCATCAAGATCTGATCTATAATTAGGCAATGGAACCTTACTGAACACAACAACTTTAGAATACTGACGGCTGGCATAATGTAGACTATTGTCAGATTATAAAGTAAATAATATGCAGTATATGAATCTGCAAGGGGCAACGAAATACCTGTGCAAACGCATTCTGTCAGCCAGTTGGGCAAGTTGTTCAAAATCTCGCCTATCCTTTCTTTCCCTTGAGATAATCTCTTGTTCATCATCATTACGAAGTAGCATGTGCAGTTTCCATTTCCACTCATCAACATTATCTAAAGTGGATGCAGCCTGGAAATTTTATTTAAATACAACTATAATGAAAATAATAGAACACAGAAAATGTTGGAAAGGACCTTTGTTAATCCGATTGGCCAGGAACACATTTGGGAAAATATACTGAACAAGATCAATAACTCAGAAGCCATCAACCTTTGACCTCCATCATTTCGCATTAGAAATTAGATTTAGATTATTTTAAATGCACTAAACACATATGAATGTTGGAAGAAAATGTTTCACGTAAGCCAAGTTTCTAGAAGGCCACCATACCAAGTTGAGAGTACTCAGACCCACAGTCCTCGAAAATACATGAGTCTTATTCACTACAGATTTTTATCGAGCTTACAAAGCATGATGGTAAGCTCTCTACACTGGCAACTTGGCAAGTGGTAACAGCATTATGTACATGTCCAAAAGGGAACAGAGGCAAAAATACAACCAACAAATATGGTGCCTACATTTCATGGATTCTAGTTTCTAGATATTTTATAGTTTTCAAAGACTTCATTTTAGCACTGGAACTATTAGGTTTGCGATATTTCTCTATACATGAATAAATGAATGCACTCTGATATTGATATGGCTATCCGTGGTTTCACTATACTTATTTACCGTACATAAGATCCTGTACAGACCATGGAAAAACTCGAGGCAATCGTGCTAAAAAATGCATCCACAAAAAGGAAACTGCTGGCACTTGAATTGAATTAGTGTGAATGACAGATAGCAACAAACCACTACAATTAAAACCCACATACCCAATTTCTGTAAACACTCTAGGTTCAGTGTAGTCAAACATAACTGAGTTTCAACCGGTCATTTTAAACTGTGAATCAATCAGTAACTGGGCAGAACAAGGCACTCACCTTGCTCGAAACTGACGTGCGGTCAATGTCCTTATCTGAGTCATCCTCAGAGAAATCATCGTAGGCATAGCGGGCATACCCAACGCTCTGCTGCCGGAAATGCTCTGGCTGGGGTGGCCGCGGCAAGGGAGGTATATCGCGCCGCCGTGGCTGAGGCGGCGAGGGGGGGCTGAGCAAACGCCCGTCCACCAGCCACTCCGGCGACCGCGCCGCCTGCTGTGCCTGCGCCGCGGCGGACGGTGGTGGCGCGAGGCTCCCGTTGGTGGACGCGATAACGGAGCGGAGCCGCCGCATCGGCGGCACGTAGACTCCGGTGGTGCTCATTGCGGCCGACGCGGGGGGCGACGAGAGGTGGGGGTTAGTGGTGCCGGGGCTAGGATTAGGGTTTCTGGAGAGGAAGAGAGGGGAGGGCATGGTCAGCGGGCGGGGCCGGCGGAGGAGGCGGACGCGACCCCGGAGGACGGAGGTCAGGAGCATCACCACCAGCGCTGCCGTCGCCGCGACAGCAGGCTCACATGTCTCATGCAATCTGCCTCCGGTTCCGCGGCGCTGCGCGCGGCGGGGGCAGCCGGCTCGTCGGAGGGTTCGTCGCCGCTATAGCGTGAGTCTCTGGGGCTCTGCGCGCGAGAAAACGCTGACGCCGGCGTAGAAACGGCGGCGGCGAATTCGCGGCGTGGTCGGGGGAGTGGTTCCCTGCGGCGGCCTACCCGGGGAGGTAGGGATGGGATGGCGGTGGCGGTGGCGGTGGGGAAAGGGAAGAGAGCAGTCCCTGGGTGTGGGAGGGTAGGTCGCTGACAAGTGGGGTTTGCGCGCCCGTGTCGCGTCGCATCCACGGCGATACGTCTGCAACGCGGGCCCGCACACGCGCGCGGGTGTGTGAACCTGAGGGCGACGTGGCCGCAGTTCGAACGTCGGTACATCGACGGTTGTTTGGCCCGCAAGGGTCCTGACTCCGGACCGGACTCCTGACCTGGCGAGCACTGACTGGTTGATAGACTGGGCCCACGATTATTCTGTGGCTCTGTGTGCTTTTCCCACGGGCTCCCTTCTTTCTTCGGAATGGAATTTTGGGTCCTGGCCTAAACTGCCAACCCTAAATCTTAAACGGACCGGGCCTTATGCCTGATGAAGGCTTCGATGTTCTAGTTGGGCCTTGTGTCGTCCATGTCGCGCTTTTGAGTTTGTTGATGAGATCATCACAGAAGAAACAACCAAACAAAAAGTACAGAAACTATACGGCGAGCTGGCCTCGGTGGATCCGCCCGGCGGCGGAGACGGCAAAGGAGTATCGAATATTGTTATTGGTCCTCGTTGTATTCTGTATTTACGGACACCCTCAACCCCCCGGTAAAAAATACATGGACTCCGGGCAAATTGACCAAAGTGAAATCAACCAAAGCTATATTGAAAATTTAAGATCATAATATACATATCTTCTATAATCTGAGAAGATCTTGCTGGTCCAAAACATGGTTAGAACAACCACTTTACATTCACAAAAATAATGAATGGCCATTTTATTTTACACTTACAAACAAATAAAGGATAGGAGGTGTTTAAGAAATGAAAATTTAAATCAAGGAAAGGAAAGGATCTAGGCATAAAGTTACATCCTACTAGTTTCTCTCACGTCTCGTCTCGTGACTCTCGTCTGCCACCAACCCACCACCTCTTCTCCGCCCTCGCGTCGTGAAACCAAACACCGATCGCACACACCGACGAACCAACTTACCAACCTCTATGGCTATGGCGACGGTGAAGCTGAGCTCCCCAGCTACCAACTTGCTCGCTGGCGGCCGCACGCGCCGATCCGCGCCCGCCAGCCGCGCGACGGTGATCCGCGCCGCCGCAGGCTCCTACTCCGACGAGCTCGTCTCCACCGCGGTGAGCCCCCACCCCCCCACCACCAAACCCTACAGCTATCCCTTCAGTATGAGTGGATAGACTGCCGGCCTGGAGGATCTGGCTTTTGGAGTGTTGCACGTGTCATACGCGGCGATCTGTGATGTGGTGATGATTTCGTTGTTTGTATCTGTTGATCTGTGAACAGTGATGGGGACTGTTCGGCAGGACTAGGATGATGAGGAAGACGCCGATATTTCTACTTTTGGTTTACTCGATTCAAATTTAGGTTGAAGAAACATTTTCTTGGTACCTATTCGTTGCGATGCATAGGTATACATGTCAACATCTGGGGGGGGCATAGTGTTCAGTCACAGAGTGCTTTACTTGAATGCAAGCTGCATTGCTCATTGTGTTCTTCCCCATGCAAACCAAAATTGAGATGCCAGATGCCGTAGAAGTGCTTAAGAAATTAGGCGATGTGCTAATATCCTGTGTTATTTAGGGATGTCCAGCTGTGGTGCATAAAACCATGTTTATTGTGCTTTTATCTGCTCAAAGATCCCATACAAAATCTGATATATGGAATACTTGAATCGAATTGACAAAGTTCTCACTGACTTGACTGTTTCTGGTCTCTACTAGACTTCTGATCGTAATCATGTGAATTGTGTGCTTATTGTTGGGTGTTATTTCTTATGAACTGATTACCAACAGCAATTCACCTACTCTCTGTTATTAGTAGTTGTGTGATCCAATTATGGTTCATATTTTGATATGATTAAAGACTATCTTGATTATCTATCTGCCTCTGGGCAGACACTTAAAAATGAAGTGTGCTCATTTTGACTGCTTCAGTCTCTGCTCAACTTTTCTATTAGCATGGACTTCAGGGGAATGTTGGTCTGAAGACTATCAAACTGCTGAGGTCACCAAATGGGTTCAAAGGCAATACAAGCTTTTGACCTTTTGTGGCTTCTTAACTGTAATAACTTATGCATAACTATTTGTTAAAATGCTGATGTGCAATTCTCTGCATCTGATTTCTGATTAATGTTTCAATGCAAGGATCTACAATGTACAAAACTTACAAGTAGTGCTAAAGTGTGAATTTGGCACTTCCTCTGTATACTGTGGATATTAGAGCTTATGTGATATCAACTGTAATGCTTCTTTGTTTGTGTCTGTTGATTGATAGTAAGTTCGTGCAAGCCTAAAAAAAAGGGTGTACCCAATGCAAAGAGCTCCCGCTCTGTGCGGGGTCTGGGGAAGGGTGTCAGTGGCAAGCCTTACCCTAGCCTATGCAATGCGAGGAGACCGTGACTCGAAACCGGGACCTTCCGGTCACAGGCGGTAAGACTCTACCGCTTGCACCAGGCCGCCTTCTTAAGTTCGTGCAAGCCTGTCAACCATATTTTGAGTTATGTGTTTCATCTATTGGAATTGACACTCATGACTGTTTGATTGGTTGAGCTTTGGTATGGAAATATGTTCTTCTAAGTTCTAAGTCATTCTCCTTTCCCACTATTGCTTATTTCTTCTTAACCGTGATTCGTTTTTTCTGTTGTTTTTGTGAATACCAATCTAATTGTTGCAACTTTATCTGCAGAAATCTGTTGCTTCGCCTGGGCGTGGTATTCTAGCAATTGATGAGTCAAATGCGACATGCGGAAAGAGGCTATCATCAATTGGTTTGGACAACACAGAACCTAACCGCCAGGCTTACAGGCAGCTTTTGCTGACAACTGCTGGTCTTGGTGAATACATTTCTGGTGCTATTCTTTTTGAGGAGACTCTTTATCAATCAACTACAGATGGCAAGAAGTTTGTTGACTGCTTGAAGGATCAGAATATCATGCCCGGCATCAAGGTTGACAAGGTATGCATGTCATGATCTTATTCTTATATCATGTTAGCACACACATTGATTCTAACATTATCATTCTCACTACTTGATTGCTTTGGTTTCATGAATCAGGGTTTGGTTCCATTGCCTGGATCCAACAATGAATCGTGGTGCCAAGGTCTTGATGGTTTGGCTTCAAGGTGTGCTGAGTACTATAAGCAGGGGGCGCGCTTCGCAAAGTGGTTTGTTCATACTCCAATTATTCATGTGTCAACTAATCTTGTTGGTGTTTCCTTTCTAAAGTTGCTATTGTTACTGATATTCTCCAGGAGGACTGTTGTTAGCATCCCTTGTGGTCCATCTGCATTAGCAGTGAAGGAAGCAGCTTGGGGACTTGCTCGATATGCTGCTATTGCTCAGGTAACAAAATAAACTGCAACTGTGGAAACATCTCAATAAAATTTTGTTTGATGGCTCATGGAGCTTTGGTGATGTACCTTTCTGCATTCATATGGGCACTTGTGCTGTTCATAAAATTATACACATTAGTTGTGCTGCAGTCACTGTGGATAGAAAGACATGGTGTTTGAATGGATTGAATGGGGGTCACTGGGTCAGACTTTATTTTGGACAGAATGATGTATGAATTTATTTGGTGTTCAGCCTGAGGTGTTTATAAAGATCTAATATATTATTATGGTTAGGCGCACTTCTATTTGAGCTGACACCACACATGTATTCTTAAAATGAAGCAAAAAAGAAAAAGGAATCATGTAGCGTAACCTTTGCAACAGACTCTTACAGCCCGATTTGGGTACATGCTTTGCAACATTACACCGGTCAGAAATAATGTCATCTTTGTTTATCATGTTTCAACATGAATAATCTACAGGATAATGGCTTAGTGCCAATTGTGGAGCCAGAGATCCTTCTTGATGGAGACCATGGGATCGAGAGAACTCTTGAGGTGGCAGAGAAAGTGTGGTCTGAGGTGTTCTTCTACTTGGCCCAAAACAATGTTCTGTTTGAGGGTATCCTGCTGAAGCCCAGCATGGTCACTCCTGGAGCTGAGCACAAGGAGAAGGCTTCTCCAGAGGCCATTGCCAAGTACACGCTAACAATGCTCAGGAGGAGAGTACCTCCTGCTGTTCCTGGAATCATGGTATCATCTTGACTCTTGGAGCAAGTAATCTGCATATAAAATCAGATCATCAATCGTTATAACTGATTTCTTCTGCAGTTCCTTTCTGGTGGACAGTCTGAGGTGGAGGCAACTCTGAACCTGAATGCAATGAACCAGTCTGCGAACCCATGGCATGTATCGTTCTCCTATGCCCGGGCTCTGCAGAACTCAGTGCTGAAGACATGGCAAGGGCGCCCTGAGAACGTGGAGGCAGCGCAGAAGGCCCTGCTGGTGCGCGCAAAGGCCAACTCACAGGCACAGCTCGGTCGCTACACTGGTGAGGGTGAGAGCGATGAGGCAAAGAAAGGCATGTTCCAGAAGGGCTACACCTACTAACATGCCAGCGAGATATTTCCATGACATTATTTTTCTCGAACCATTTCCATGACATTATACTTATCGTTTTGGTGTCACGTTTTTTTTTTGGGTACGCATGAGTGAATAATAACCAAATTCTTGGTGCCAACAACTTCTAGCAGTGCATTTGATCTTAGAGCTCCTGTAGAACCTATAGAACGAAGATGTACTCTGAGAACGTTAAGTGATATTTGCAATCTGGTAAATTCTATTCCTAGCCAAGTTGCCACCTGTGCGGCTGTGCCAAGCACAACAGGTGAAAACCTGCCTTGATTTTTGTATGCGCAAGTATCGATAACTCTCGCTCTGTTAAACAACGCTTATCTAGTTTGATCTTTGGGTGAAAACTTTGGTTTGACTGTCATTCACTGTGCTTACTGCACTACTAGAGGATTTTACAATCAGTGGTGATGATTTATGTCATTATCGGCGGTTTGTGTTATTAGCTGTTAGTGATACTCAAACTGAGTATACTCTCGTTTGTGTGGGTATGTATCCTTAGCTGGTTGTGATGTTTCTCCTTAACGACTGACCAGACTTATGTAATCCGCTTTATTCTTCTAAGTGGGCGTTCATAGGTCTTGTGTTTGTGTGTGTGTACTCCGTGCGGTAATCTTGCCCTCCTCGATCTCCAGTGATCTCCACGGAGGACGTGTCGGGTATCAATATTAGGGATATCCGGAGGAAGAAAGTTAACGACCATGAACATTAATTCACTCGGATGGTCAAGAAGTATTTAAGGTCTCGCCCGACCACGGCGCGGCCTCGGGCGCGGGCTCCATCTCGCCCGACGGGGATCTATACCATCTCCAACCACTACGGGTCTAAGAGTACGACCCCAGGGTCAAACTTCTGGCACCGGGAGGGAAGCGGGCACGTCTTGACGTGACCCGTGGACACGACGGACCACATACACAGGGGCTCACGCCGCCAACAATGATTGTCGGGCGTCTTGCGTATTGTCAGGTCGCCTAATCCTCAGACGCCTTCCTCGACAGAGTACTGTTGACCACGTCGCCCGTCGGAACGGAGTTGAGCGCCACGACCGGCTGACGACGCCTGCGTATAGCGCCAGTGACGAACAGGGCCGTGACATGGAGCTATCCCCGTCATCATCTACAGGACCGGCGGGACCCGCATAAAGGAGATGAGGGACGCCGCGACCCTAGAGGCCTTTTTCTCCCTCGCTTTTCTTCTTTTCTCTCTCTTTCTCTCTCTATAACCTACGTCTTCCCCTTCACCTATAAAAGGGGAAGCAGGACGCCCCAGGAGAGAGGCACGAGCACACGGCTGAACGAACTCAACAAGACTCAACTCCGTTCGATCTTTTCACTAGAGACTTGGGTAATTCTCCCTCCCTCGCCTGTTTGTAACCCCTACTACAAACTAGTGCCGGTAACACGAGCAGCAGCAGACTAGACGTAGGGACATTCCGTCCGATGCAGTATACATCCTTGTTGTAAGGAAAATGGACCATAGGCCCATTTACTTTGGATTTTGGTGTTTGATGACCAACACAACCAAATTGGACTAATAAATTTGTAAGTAATTGTTTTATAGTTCAATAGGGTGCAAGACATGACTTGGACGAAGGCGACATGATGATCTCATGATCAACACCATAAGCAAGATCCTAGAAGCACAAGAGAAGACCCAAGATATCAAGCATAGTCCAAGCACGAAGATGGGAACCAAGCCAGACGCAAGATCGCGAAGAAACGAGTTGGGCAGAGGTGACCGGACGCGGCCCTATAAGGACCGGATGCGTCCAATCAGTTGCTCGGCAACAGCAGGCGTCAGCAGCTGTGACCGGACACTGAGCAAAGCAGTGACCGGACGCACCGATGACACTGTTCTTCGTCACGGCAATGTTTTCAGCGTGACTGGATGCAGCGGCACTGAATGACCGGACGTACAAAGTACAGCGTCCGATCGAGTCCAGAGAGGTTCCAGAGCAGCGCCAGAGCGACCGAACGTGTCCGATCAACGCGCGCGCTCTAACGGTCGGGACGATCGGACGCGTCCGGTCAGTAGCAGAAAGCTGGGTTTCGCCCCCAACGGCTACTTTCTCGGTGGGGCTTATAAATAGACCCCCCCAACCGAGCATTTGAGATGTGTAGAGCTGAGAAAACATACCAAGGGTGTTGATACACCATTTTAGTGATCTCTATTTGCATATTGCTTAGTGATTTATTAGGTGATTAGCGGAGGTGCTTTGCGAAGTGCTTAGGTTGATTAGGCCACCGCTTATGCGCTTGCTCTAGGTTTAGGCCTAGTGTTTAGTAAGGTTTGCGCATCTCTTACCATTCGGTGCTTACGCGCACCATTGTTGTATATCGGAGGGGCTTGTAGTCTTGCGAGATCACACCAACCGCGTTTGTGGTGTGGCCGCCACCGTGTACCGAATGGAACAAGGCCCGTGGCGGTTCGGCCGAAAGCTTGATAGTGAAGATGGCGGAGAGCGGTCCAGGAGAGGCTTACCGGAAGGCACGTCGGAGACCCACTTGCGCGTGGGGAAGGCCCGAGGCTATTCACGGAGTTACCCGACCGGGAGCTTAGCCCTTGCGAGGGATTCCTTGCGAGGGGCTCCAACGAGGACTAGGGGGAAGCTTGCGCGTTTCTCGATACCTCGGTAAAAATACCAAAGTCATCGATGGGAGTTTGCATATCTCTACCTTACTCTTTAGCTTCCGCATTTACATTGCAATCTCGTTTTGTGCTTTACTTTCCTAGCTTAGTGATAGGCTACTTGATAGAATTAGAACCTAGGTTGCATAGCTCCTTTTTGCGGTAGAGATAGCAACACACCTAGCAAACTATAGTTGCATATTTAGATAGTTTATCTTTTGTATAGGTTTTGCTAAGAGTAGAAAAAGATGCCATAATTTAGAGTTAGAGTTTTAAGTTGCCTAATTCAGCCCCTCCCCCCTCTTAGGCGTCACGGTCCCTTTCAATTGGTATCAGAGACGGTTGGCTCAATTTGGACCTTTGGCTTCACCGTCGTTGAGCCGACGCTATTTAGAGTGGTTGGGATGGATACCTCTAGGCCTCCGCACTTTGACGGCACTAACTTCCTCTACTAAAAAGCTAGAATGGCTTGTCACCTTGAGGTGGTAGATTTAGATGTTTGGAGAATCACTCGTGACGGGATGAAACCCATTAAGAATCCTAATAAACCCACAAAGAGCGAAGAAAAAGAAATTTATTTCAATGCTAGAGCTAAAAATTGCTTGTTTGAATCTCTTAGCATGGATGTGTTTAGCCAAGTTTCAATTTAAATACGGCACATGAAATTTGGTTAAAACTCCAAGAGCTCCATGACGGCACAACTAATGTCCGTGAGCAAAACATTATCTAGCTAAACAAAATTATGATTCCTTTAAAATGAATGATGATGAGCTTGTTCGTGATATGTATTCTCGTTTGAATATAATTATCAATGAGCTCCATTCAATAGGATTAACAAAGCTAGATGAGGTGGACATCATGAGGAAGATCATCTCCGTGCTACCACAAAAGAAATATACAAGCATCATCACCATCCTTCACAACATGGAGGACTTGAGCACCATGACCCTGGCCATAGTCATTGGCAAGATAGTGGCATTTGAAATGTCACGCAAGATGGGTTAAGAAGAAGCCTCTTCATCAAGCAAAGGAAAACTCTCACATGTAGTGAGAAAAAGAAGATGAAGGGCAAGCAAGTTGAGACAAGCTCAAGCTCAAGCTCCTCAAGTGAAGATGAAGCAGAAGATGAGGATGATGATGACGAAGAATCAAGTGATGATGATCAATCTTTCTCCTCCACCTCCGACCTTGATGAAGAATCTATCAAGCTTATCAACAAGATGGAGAAGATGATCCAAAAACTCAATGTCAAGGATGTGCCCATCCAAATTCAAGATTTTATCTTCACCAGTCAAAGAAATGAGCAAAGAAAAAAATGATGCTATGGATGCGGCGAGTTGGGGCACTTTATGGAAGTTTGTCCAAACAAGATCATACCCAAGACAAAGAAGAAGATGTGCAAGGACAAAGCCCTCACATCAATAAGGTCATGGGACGATTCTTCAAGTGAAGAAGAAAACCACCACAAGAGGCGCGGGCACAAGCACTCATCGTCAAGCACCTCACGTGTGTGCCTTATGCCACAAGGTAACAAAAAGCCTATCCCTAGTGATAGTGACAATGATAGTGATAGTGATAATGAGCTACCTTCTTATGATGAAATTATGCAATAAAATCTTAACTTTGCTAAAGTTTGCACTAGTCAACAAAAGAAGCTTGAAAAATTAAAAGAAAAACTAGATAGCTCACAACAAGCTTATGCTACTTTGCTTGAACAATATGAAACTTTTGCCAATCTTAATATGGAGCTATCTACTAAAATTGAGCAACTTGAGACTAGTGCAAACACAAATAATTGCGCAATCAATGATGAGCAACTTGTAAAGAAAAATGAAAAATTAAAGGAAAAGTTAGCTAGCTCACAAGATGATTATAAAAGTTTGCTCACTAAAATGAAAACCATGTGCAAACATTGTGATGAGCTAACTAATAAAATTGCTAATCTTGAAGCCGTCGGTACAGCCCCCACTGAGGCACCTAAAAAGAAAGGTTCAATTTTTGATATGCCTAAAAAGGATGCCTCTACTTCTTATAATGATTTATGTTTAGACTCACCCTTGTGCAACCAAGTTTGTGTTGAGAAAGTTGTTGTAGAAACATGCACACAAGAGGCCGCAATGGAGAATGAGCAACTCAAGCAAGAAGTGGCTCACCTCACTAGGACTTGACTTAAGTGAAAGGCAAGACGGAGCAAGCCCAACTTTATCAAGATAACACCGTCAAGAGAGTGAAGAAGCTTGATGAAGGACAAATCGTGGTTTGCTATGTATGCCACAAGGAAGGCCACAAGTCCTATGAGTGCAAGGTGAAGAATGGGGGAGGAGCTAAGAAGAAAGAGAAAAATAAAAAAG